AGGAGGAAACCTCTGTGTTTTAAACTCAGGTTTCCCCCAGGTTAATCAGGTATTTTTTCAGTATGAAATGAGTTCTTGTATTTAAACTAAAACATGCTGACAATATGCCATTTTAGCAATTGCCTTCCACAAGATATGTCCTAATACTGCAGCATTTTCAAACACTCCATACAGATATTTCTTTAAAAGTTACACTGACAAAAGTAATTTCAGCCTTTTGGGCTGTACTTGATGTCTATTTATTTTCTGTGCCTTTAATAGTCACAACTCCAGGATTTCCTTTTGCCTTAGCTCTAAGCACCACGCAGTCTGATTTTAGACAAACCACAAATAACATTTATTTTAGCTGTTTAACCATTCTAGTCCTTACTCCTTTTTTTTTTTTAAATGCCTTTTCTACTTTCTTCCATTAGAAGCAAATGCTGGCCTTCTGTTCTTTTAGGGTATCCTTTGCTTTTAAGGAAAAAATAGACAGAAAGCTGTATTCCAACATACCTTGAAAGGAGAGTAGCATTCACTGCTAGCTGTGTGACTTTTCAGTAGCTGCAGACTGAGACTCAGACTCAGCAGACTCAGACTCCAGCGTTCCCAAGAACCACGGTGTCACAAATCCCTGAAGCTTGCAATGAGGAGCAGAGGCAGATTGTTCTCACACGCCCTTCCTCTTCTCTGGGTATCTGACAGCTGTACACTTTTTAGGACTGCAGCAGGACTTGTCTCTCAGCCCCTTTGCCACTCTGATAAATCATCCCCTCCCTGCTATTAGGGCATGCTGCCATTATATCTTAAAAGCACGTCACAGCTTGCATGCAGTAGCTGTGGGAAAGCTGCATTTATTTATACAGGAAGCTTGAGTACAGCACTTCCTACTTCCCATCCGAGACTCAATTCAACTGCAGGTGATTACTTAAACCCTGTCAGCCAGCCAATGCACACCCTACGTCCTGATTTGGATATCTGTGCTGCTTTTAATCACAGCTCCCATCTGAGCTCTGAGAAGGTTAAACTGAAAGGAGCAAGGCATTAGATGTGACACTCATAAAAAACCCCTCCCAAATTAACCTGTTTTAGGGTAGCAGTTTGCATGGCAGCTGCCCTACTGGCAGATGATGTATGAAATATTGCTGGCTTCTGCTTGTGAAAAATGTCATCTAAAAGAAAAGTGATTTCTTCATGTCGGAGGGGAAGGGAGCAAAAAATCTAACTCACAAGTCGAGTATCAGTGAAATTTCAAATCTGAATGCTTAATTCTGTCCATACAAAAATTTCACTCTTTAAGCTGGGCTTGTGTGCAAGAGGGACTGGGAATTCTGCAGTTCTGTACTCCAAACTTAAGGGTGTGATTCACAGCAGCTGAGCAGCAGAAGGTATTATTGAGACACATCACATCAAACCCTCAAGAACTTTTCCTGCTGTAGGAAATGCACCGCACCCACAGATAAGAAGTGCAGGGTGTGCAGAAAAACAGAGGGGGGGGGGGAAGTACAGATGCTAATCTATAATTTGCTCTGATGAAATCAGTTTACTTTGTAGTTCATGCAATTATTGCTGGTGTTTTGCCTTCAGTACTTAGATATATAGGCATTTCTTCTGGGGTGTATAGAAGCTCACAGCTGAGTTTTTAGTTATTTTCAGCCAATTATACTGCATCAGAATAACTTAAGAAAAAGGCAGAAATCTTGTGCAACTTGAATTCAGTCTCCTTATACCTATACACTACAGCTTTGCTTGAATTATCATCATATACTCTTTTCCTCTTGGAATAAGTACAAATTTAAAATCAATCTATTTAACTTTGGGTGTTACGTATAATTTTATATTTAGAGGGGAAGGGAATAACCACCAGAAAAAATGTAGCTGTTCAAACATGTGGAATCACGTTGATCCCTACAGTGTTCATCAATAGTTTTACAACAATATTAGGCAAACTAGAGCCATGTCACATATATTGCCACTTGAGTTAGCAGAGTATTTCCCAGCAGAAGCAGACCCATATCCTCGGCAGTGACCAATCCTAGACGGTACTCAAGAAACACCTAGGGCTCAGAGCTATTTTTCAGTATGCAGAACAGTAATGAAAATGTGGAATTCTTTGTAAAACTTCATGATTAGAAAAGGATTCTCCTTCAGTGGTTAGAATTTTAACCTAGTATGAAATAGCTTGAGCTTCTATCACTACTCTTTTCAATAGTTCCCCTCAGTTTCAGTTCCTATATTTTCTTCCTGCTGCTGCTACCTTTGCTACTCTACCTCCATCACACAAGTACTTTTTAGGCCACAGATAAAAATCAACAATAAAAATCTTCCTGCTCTCAGCCCCTGTGCTCAGCAACACAGCACTTGAACAGAAAAGGGACAATTATCTCAAGGAGAGTAGTGAGAGAGTGAGGATGAGGAAAATCAAGTCATTTATGCAGGTGTAGGGAAAATGGCAGGGCAGTAGGTTCAGAAGTAGAGCAGGGCAGCAGCCAGTAGCAGAGCAGCAAAAATAGCATCTGGTTTGGTATTTACTCCTTGATGGCACAAAAAAGCAAAACCAAGCTTCACTGAAGTAACCTCCAACAGTCAAGAGATAGAGCTGCAAACAAAGGTTAATCATCTTTCCTTCAGATAAATGATGAGGCCAGCTTGTATCTGGGGGGCTGTTCTTTCAAACTATGAAAACTAGATTAGTACATTAAAATGCAGACCAATTCTGGACACATCAGCTGCAAACATCCCATGATATTTTTAGCCCATTTCCTAATAGGTATCTCTATGCATGAAAGTTATAATGTGATTGCACAAATGTGCAAAACTGCTTACAGCAAAATTAATTTCCCTTAAACATTACAAAATTGGTGAGAAATATGATTAATGTTTCCCAAGAGATTTAATTATTTGGAAATGTTAAGATGTGCTCATTCCAAGCATTCCACTTCTTCAGTATCAAATCCTAAACTGTGATCCGAGGATTTACATGTAGGACAATCACTTACTGATGTTCTATGGACAGCTGGCTATACCTCTGCTTTCATCTTCTCTTCTGTATTTGTCCTTACTTCTGTGCTTACCCAGGATCTCAACAGCAAAGAGGAGCTGAAGGTGACGTCGCACTGCGCAAGAGCTCAGGCTATAAGGACTTGAGACGATCAATACTGATGGTTCTTTTCATTGCCATCACCTGAAGATGTGAGCTGGACTGTTACAAGCTCTTCTGCCAAAATGATTTCTCTTCCAGCTCTACCTCGAGCCCAGGTACTTCACAGTTTCACAGAAGCACATCTTCTTGCCAAGCTAATTTTATGAACTATTATGAGCCATGCTAGAATTGCTACCCAGCCCAAATCCCTGAATTTCTTAACCCAGATTGATTGGTTTCCTTTTTGAGTCACAAATAAAAAAAATACAACTTCAGAATGTCACACAGTGCCAGACAAGGCACAAGCTAAGTCCTCCCCGTTTGCTCTTTTCTTCAGTAGCAGTGACATAAACACAAAACTGAGAGGGTCCAATTAATCTTTTGGACACTCTCAACTGAAGCCTTTATATCTCCAGGGCTGGGGGAATGGCTGAGCCTTGGAGATGATACATACTGAAATGTAGCATCACTGGGAACTTTTAGTTGAGTTACTAGTCAGAATACAAATAAAGGCTGGCATAGTTAATTACTAACATTGCTGTGTCATTCTTGCAGCAGCTTGAAATACTTACAAAATGACTAAGCCAGTCTGCATTAACTAAAATTACTCATTAGTTTATGACAGAAGGGGGTAAAAAAGTAATAGCATGACCACTGAAAAGATGTCTCATATCTTACAAACAAAATACCATTAGCAGCAATAAAAACACCGAGTTAGTCTATAACTAACAGTTTCATTATAACTCAATATAAAGAATTAGGATTAGCTTGTGAGGGGAAAAAAAGAGATTTTTACTACTCTGTTTCAGTTTTCAACTAATAAAAAACAAATATCCTAAAAAGTAATTGCTATCCAGAGGTGTAATATAAAATGAGGTTTTGTAACAAGCTTTCTAAAACCAGAGGCTAACTAAGAAAAATGAGTCTTTATCCACTTCACTTACTGTACATGCAAATTATCCATTTCCTTATAGGAAAAAAATATTTGGATATGTAAGAGACACAGTTTCACAACAAAAATAGATACTAATGGGTAACATAACCAATGCTGAAAACAAAACAGGAAGGGGTTTTGCACAGTGAGTATACATATATTTTCTGCAGTTACAAGTATGATGCCCCTGATGTCATGGACTATTAATAGTTCTATTCAATGGGAACTGTTTTAAAGGAGGATTACACCATCAAAAGTCATCTGTGGTACCTTCATAAACCAGATGTTTTAAAAAAGGAATCTTTATTCAATATATGTATTTATATAATCACACAATGCTAGAAATCAGATGTCAATGCAAAAAAATACAGAGCTATGTAATATTTTGCATGCAGACAAGATTTACTCAGTATTAGCTACAAGAAAATCAGCATCACGTTTTTCCCTGTTTGAATAACCCTATTGTTCTACAATTCTGACTTAGTATGCAAGTCACTCACTGACAAACTAGGTTTGAGGTCTTCATTATTTCCTTTACCTAAAACATAAAACTTTATTACAAGGTGTTTTCTATTGGAGTAAAATAAGTCAAGTTAAATTATTTTGAAAGAACAGTAGGTACAAATCCAAAGAGCATTTTATTTTACAGTGAAAAAGGGAGTGGGATGGCACACTGTCTACTGAACATGTATAATGATTACGATCTCAAAATGTGTGTGGTAGGTGACTTACACTCATCCTGCTCTATGAACAAGGCAAAATGCAATATTCATTAAACTTTATTGGCACAGCACACCATCTCTAAACAAAACATAATGGCTTCCATAAAACTCTGTATTTCTTCTCTTTTCATATTTTTTCATGTATTGTTTATACTGTGAACTAGCTTTTGGTATTTGATCCATACAGAACTGTGCTAGAGGATTAAAAAAAATAGAGTCTCACCAGAAAACAGTGAGAAAACAGTCTTCTACCCCAGTGGGTAGGTTTCAGGTGCTTAGAAATCTCATCTTAAAGATCAATGCAGATGATTTTGACAGTATGTTGCTGGAGTTCCAGTGCAACTTGTCTTCTTGGAACCTGAAAGCATTAAGAGAAAGTGTATTTGCCCCTGTAGCAAAACTTGCTGGTGACAGAGCTCTACTAGCAATGTCATCAGGAGCGGGCACTTAGCCACCAGCAACCAAACAGCTCTGTAATTGCTCTACACAAATTTTTTGCTTTTGCAAACTCCTGCCTGTTCACTAAGTGTGCAAAGAACCAGCCTGCAAAAAGAAAAAGAGCCAAGTTGCTATGAGTCTGCCACAAAAAAGATGTTGATGAACTGCCACTGAACATCAGACATCTATCCCAGGGGCAGCCAGCGCAGCACCTTCAGACCAGGACATGTCCTTAGCCACCCCTCTGCACTCAAAACACAAGGAAGAGGAAGGTTTCTGTCACAATCCCCCTTGACCTCCTCCTGTGACATGAGACCTGTCAGCCATCAGTTCACAAAGTGATCATCAATGATGTGGTGGTGCTGCTTCTAGTGACACGGCAGCAAGAGGTTGCAGGACACCTCTCAGGCTCAGAGGACCTGTGTAAGCAGGTCCAGTTCCCCAGATGGATAGCACATGTAGCTTCCCCCAATGTCATGAACTGATGACAAAAAAGTAAAATAAAACCAAACGGGTTGTTTTGCTCTCATGTTCATGTGTTACACATACAGAAGTGGAGTCGCTCAGTTCTTATGACCATCGGGTAACAGATGAGACTTTCTAGCTCATAATAATAATAATAACTTATAAAGTTATTATATAATAATAATAACTTATAAAGTAGCATTGAGGGAAACATATTAAATACATGTGAAAGAGGAGACACTAAAGTTGTCCACTTCTCCTGCTTTCTCTTAAAGTCAGCATACATTTTTAACAAATTGTATAAAGATTGCATGATTGCATAGGGAAAACCTAAGGCTCAGTTCAATTAATTTATTTTCTATTAACTGTATTCACAGTTAACCTCAGAGCATGTCACAGACTTTCAGTTATACATGGATACTTTTTTTCCTATTGACTGTGTGCCAAAAAATGACACATTCTGTTGACTTTTAACCAAGTGTTTTGGTAATGTACCTAGAAGCACAGTGATTTCAGACATCAGAATCGCCATCAGCTTAAAAACTGAGAGGGCAAAACCATCCTGGTAGCCAACACAGGAAGCTCCCTCTGTAACAGAGGAGGTCACTCACCTGTCCTTGTCATGAGATAAAAATGTGCACACTATTTTCATGTCTCTAATTCTGCTTTTTCTGTCCTACTTCGAGCTCTTAACTGCCTTGTTTTCAGAAATATTAAGAGAAGGTTTTATTCCTTCTAACCCAAGCCAGTCTCCTAGGTGATAGTTCTATCTACTGGTTTAAAAGACAGCTAAAATTTGGAGGGGAGGGTGAAAAGAGGGGTTGCCTAATAATACATTTCAGCCCAGACCTTCCTGTTTTAACTACCATCAGAAGTCAGGGATGGGCAAGTCAGAAATGAGACAGAGTTGAGGCTCCTAATTGTATGGCTATAAAACCCAACAATAGGACTTTCATAGGCATCTGGCAGGCAGGACCAAGGTGAGGAGCTAAAGCATATCTTTGATTCATACCTTTTCCTTAGTATTTAGGTATGACACACTTACCCTTTGATTAATTTAGGATGAGAAATGATTTCCAAGTTGAGAGAGGTTACTCCAATGGATTGGTTATGCAGGGAAATAATGGAATTGAAACATACCCATATAGGAAAACCAGGAACTTGTCCCTCTCTCCCAGCATCCCTCTCCTTACTCAACTTCTAGGGAGGGTTCCCATACCATTCCCCTCCTCCTTATAGTCTCTTCTCCCTATCCTAGTTTACCTTTCATCCATTTATGGTGAGGCCAGATGCGAAAGTTTTGTCCAGATCCGCTTTTCTCCCTATGAAATTTAATAATGTGGTTAGATAATCTCAGCTAATAGTTTTTAGGGATTTCAGCCTCTGCCACATTAGGGCTGTTTGAGTGAGCCCACTTTCTCCCTGCTGGACACATTTGCAATGGCAGCATCGAACAAGGACACAATACCACCTCCCAGATGAGAAGCAGCAACGTGTTAAAACACGTGCAACTGTTTGCTGGCAGTGCTCTTATCATATCACAGCTGTAGTAACAAAATCCATGATTGCTTCACATTCTGATCCCTTGTTAGGATAGGGATAAAAATTTTCTTCCTTCTCTGCTCAGAGTAGAGAAGACAGCAATTAAAATAATCTCCTTGAAAGGACATCTTTAACATGCACTACCCAGCAAGCAGTAGTTAAATTCAACGATCCCAAAATTAGTGTAGTGGGAACTCAAAGACAAGCACATTGCTTGCTTGCTGCAAGTGACGTAAGGATTTATTCAGTTGCACTGGAATAATTAAGGAAGTTTTAACTTCATGTTGTTTATTTTTGTGTCTGATTAGAGACACATTCTGTTACATTCAGGTGCCAGGTAACAATTAAAAATATATGCTTTTTACCTAGTAATTTTTTTAAGTTTCTTATAAAACTAGGAATATCCATTTGGGCAGAGAGAATATCTAGGAAAAGAAACATGAGTTTTACAAGACTAAACAGGGGCAGAAGGGCAAGAGACATACCGAAACCTCTGCTTTTCCAAACACTGACAACATCCAACCAAATATTATTTTCTGCCTCAGTACTATCTGCAGTCATTGAAGAAATTACAAGCAAACTCATCTTTTCATTAAGCACGACTTCGTCTCTGAAAATCCACTGGCTCCATTTAACTACCCTATATTTCTCAGGAAGAAATTTAAACAGATCTGGGTATATCATCCCAACTTTTGATTTTATACATACATATGTATTTTCTGGGATATGAGAAAACATAGTCAGGGGAAAAATGCATCAAAAAATTTGTTCCCACAGAGAGTCACTTTGCATTACACAATATAAACAAAGCTTTGAAGTGTGAACTCTGAATTTGTAGTTTCCATGAGTTCTATCTTTCTTACTAGTTCTATCTATCTTACTAGGGTGTATAAATTCAAGCTGAAGAAAATGTGTTCAGTGAACTCTGACTATGAGTAAATATTTAAATTCCTCCTTACACTGTCCTTCAGATAACTGTCTATATGATTGCAATTTACAAATCTAGGGAAAAAACAATATCCCAGATCAGAGGAAATGGAAATGCTGTGTTGTAGAAGAAGAGAAAGAGGAGAAAAAACTGGCCTACTTGCATGGAAAAAGTCCTGACACCTCTCTCACCATATGACCAAAGTTAGGTCAGCTCCCACCTTCAGAAGGCAGATGGGAAGAAACTTCTTCAAGACTGGAGGATCTTGAGGTCTGCCAAGAAGGTATGAGAGAACATGAAATTTAAGAAGGAACTTAACATGAAGTTTAAGGAAGGTTTGGTGGATGAAAGGCTGGGCATGAACCAGCAATGTGCACTTTCAGCCCAGAAAACCAACTGCATTCTAGGCTACATAACAAGAACCGTGGCTAGCAGGTTGAAGGACGTGATTCTGTCCCCCGTCCTCTACTCTCATGAGACCCCACCTAAAGTAGTCCATCCAGCTCTAGGGCCTCAAACACAAGAAGGCCATGGACCTGCTGAAGGAGGTCCAGAGGAGGGACACAAAGATGCTCAGAGGATTGGAGCACCCCTTCTATGAAGACAGGCTGAGAGAGTTGGGGTTGTTCAGCCTGGAATAGAGAAGCCTCCTGGGAGACCTTATAGCAGCTTCCAGTACCTGAAAGGGACCTACAAAAGAGCTGGAGGGACTCTTTACAAAGGGACTTTTTACAAAGTCATGTAGTGACAGGACAAGGACTAATGGCTTTAAACTGAAGGAGCATCCATTAAGATTAGATATTAGGAATAAGTTTTTTTACAATGAGGGTGGTAAAACTCTGGAACATGTTGCCTAGCATAGTGCCCCATCCCTGCAAACATTCAAGGTCAGGCTGGACATGGCTCTGAGCAATCTGATCCAGTTGAAGATGTCTCTGCTCATTGCAGGGGAGTCATACTAGATGACCCTTAAATGTCCCTTCCAACCCAAAATATTCCATGATTCTAACAGGGGCCAAAGGCAGGGAAACCATTTGACTCTCCTGAATATGAAACTGAGAGCATGAAGAGACTGGGCATAACAATCTCCTGTCTCTGTGTTTTTGGTTTATGCATAGAGTACATTTGTTATGTGGGAAAAAAAAGAAGTGAAAAGGAGGAAAAATCATATATACTACACAATATTTTTAACATTGCATGAAAAAACATTAAAAGAAAAAGAGAAAAGTTATATCAATTTTGCTAATTGATTTCTTTCTTTCTAAGACCAGCTCTTAAAAAACCCTTTTAGCTTTGTATATATTCATAGCTTTTTAAACATCATAAAAAAATTACAAACGGGACTTCCCAGTAGCCTTGCAGAGAGCAAACTCAGTGTCAGAATCCAGGCATGTAGCATCCCCAGCATTCCTGTTGGTGATCACAAACATCTCACCAGTCTCTGGGTGCCCCAGGAAGCAAGATGCCACAGGTCTCAGCTGTGAAAGCAGCACAAAACGCCTCTCTGGGCTGGAAAAACTGGAACAGACAGGCTGCTTCCTACTGAGCAAACCTCAGAGAAATTATCCAGCACTACTTGGTAAGAACCAAGAAGTTCCATCTGAGATCCTTTTGAAATATGGTGATCATCACACTATGCCACAAAAACAGTGTTTACAATAATGGTTTCTCATCTTTGGGTTAAAAAAAATTGTCAGGTCATGATGTGATATATCACACTCAAACTTTGTGCATGGAAACAGAATTTGGATAGCAGGAGAACATAACTTTTTCCCACTATGGATTTATTCCTCATAATACTGGGTTAAGGATTTGAAGAGTTTCTGGCAGTTCTGTTTAATTGTTTATTTAGGAACAGTGGTTTATCTCCCCCCAAACAAAATGATAGGAAGTATGAATCAAGACTGTTCAAAAACTAAAATAACAACTTCCTTTGTCCTTATTGATATCATTTCTGTTTTTGTGACCTGAGTGGGTATGTGTTGACTGTGGGAAATCTTTTTCCAGTGAATCACTAGGAAGAATAGATAAAATTAATGTTTTACAAGAAATCAGATGAATGTTCTGCTGTAGTTAATTTCCACTAAACATAGCAGAGTATGACGGGAATGGAGATAGTGACAGTGAAGGAAAAATTCCAATAATCTGCTTTCGTTCTTTGATTTTCTTTCCAGGAAACAGAGAAGTTACTTCAGCCTCCTTCAACTGGCAACAAGTGTACAATAAATCTTTTGTCATTTAGGGATAACCCAAATGTGCAACACTCCACATACTACGATGTTTTCAGTTTGGATACTATTACGGGCCAAGAGGCCCATCCATCACTCTGTTTAGACCACATAAAGTCTGTTACTGGCACTGCATCAAGGTTAAAGATTCTCTTACATTAAAGTGTACCTAAACTGATGATCAAGATCTCTGCTGTCTCTATACCATCAACTGCCAAACAATTTTATTTTTTCTATAGAAAAAAGGTTACAAAAAGGTGATGAATTTAAAATAAGGAAGGCTTTGATTCTTGTACAAGTGTTTCCAGGTATGTTGCTGAAAAAAAGTAAATGAGAAAATTACTTTCCTTATTCAGAAGGTATTGTAAACTATCCTTTTCCTCAGGAATGAAGATTTATTAATTTGGCAGATTTTATGCTCCAAACTTGTATGCGAAGAAATGGTTGAGCGCCAAAACTAATAAAGCCTGGTTTCTAAGGATTTGCATGCCTTAACACTACTAAAACAATAATCCTAGATCCCTGACAAAGCTCTGAAAGTGCCCCTAGACCAGGGGCAGAACAGATTATGGCTTGCACTGACCCACATGCACACTGATTAGTAAGCCTCATCTGTGATGACGGTTTTATGACTGGATGCTACCAGAAAATATACAACAGGAGAGCACTGCCTGCTTTTTTACATCAATGGCTCAAAAAGTTTTCAAGTGTACCAGCAGACAAACAGCGTAATCCACATGAACTCTATTTCCCTAAGAAGTTGGCTTAAGCAGAAGACTTAACTCAAACCTTTAAAGATTAGACTGATCATTTCACAAAATCATAGGAAAAATCAATGTACTTTACTGGGTACTCTTCAGATGTGTGACTAAGTACAACTTTTCTGTTTCCTTATACATAGAAAGAAGTAAAGAGTAAAAGTTTTCATTTGACATTCTGGTTTTGACCACTGGAAGCCAGCTTCAGGACTTCTGCGATAGGTTTTCCTGCTCCTTAATGGAGGAGGAAAAAAAAAACACAAAACAAAACAAAACAAACAAACAAACAAAAACACCTGCAGCATGGGTAAAAGATTTAGATTTTTTCCTAGGCTGTGCCATGAACTTCCTCTGACCTTGGAAAAGTACATAACTTTATAATCTGTAACACCACAAAAAAACCTTACTTGTAGACGAAGTATACAACACATGCCGCAGCTGCCTTGTATACTTTGTTACAGACCATAAAGTGTCTTGCATTTTCAGGCTAAATAGATTCAAGGACAAAGCAGCAAAACAGCAGTGTTCAACAGGGAAATCTGATGCGAATCAAAAGATGAAAAGTCGGTCACTATAAAAAAAGTTTTCTAGAGAACATCACTGATGTGATGAACTATATTTGTTTGGAAGACCATACAAATGATCATTCAAACAATACGAAGTGTCTACATGTGCCATGCTTCTATCAATCTTGCCTAACTAAAGCAGAACAGACAAATGTCATATACACTCTAACTGCTTAAATACTAGATGCTAATACAAAATGAATACAAAGTGCCAGCAGAGGAGTCATGGGATCACGGGGGGGGCCATGGATACCTTTCTGATTCTATCCCTGTGGTCTTCCTTTCACCTTTCCACTATCT